AGCAGAAAATAGTACAAACTTTGCTAAAGTGATTGTTTTGAACTAGTATTAACTTAAACATTATTTTTAAAAAAAACAAAAAAAACAACAACATTATTTTAGCTGAAGTATTTGTATCAATACCGATTTTTAAACAAAATAAACAACTTGAATGATTTATTTTCAAACAAAATCTGTTGCTCCATTAATGTTCAATACAAACGTATATATTTTTCCTGCAATTATACATTTTAGGCGCAGTGAATAGCACATTTTGTCTTAAGGTGTGCTTTTAGCCCCGTTGTACCCTACTTAATTTCAACTGAATAATCTCAAATATATAGTTTCAATGTTCTGAACTGTATGGATGGTGTATTTGTAGTGTTTTGGTGTGTGTTTGGGGTCTGTAGACTGCAGCTGTAAACGCTGGGATCCTCAAAGACTCGTTTATTCAGGCCATCAGATGAACAGTCTGTGTGTCAACTCAACATTAATAGACACATAGAGCACATGCGGCCACACACACACAAATAAAACTCATTTCACAACACAAGTACTATGTAAAGCATATGAAACTAAATCCCTGAATGAAACAGCAGCTTTACAGTAAACCGCTGAGCTGTAATGACGCACTGCGGCCACTAGAGGACGCTGTAGGTCTACTGTACTCTACTGTACTCTACTGTAACGCCGCAGTGAGTCTCTATCAGTCTGAGGACTCGCTGCTTCACACAGCATTAGTGGCACAAACTCCTCTATTACTTCATGAACGCTAGCAGCTTTAAACACATCAAATGGCTGGTTCCTCTCTTGATTTTGCATCTATGTAACAAAATATTTGAAGCATAATTTATTTCAGAGACGCAACATAGACTATGTTGCATCTCTGAAATAAGTTATGCTTCAAATATTTTTACATAAATATGCATATATTTAACATGACTTTCTGAGGTTGATGATCAAAAATGCTCTTTTTGGGGAGCTTCTGATTTTGTGCCACATTCATATATTATATTTGACCTATGGATGTAAAGTGATGTGTCTCTCTTGTGTATGTGTATGTTGTATAAGTGAATCTGTAGATGGATCTGCTGACACTCACGTAAGGATCGTCCTCCTCACACTGTTCATTCGGAGCGCTGGGATCCGCCGTCAACAGCGAAGTGTCCTCATAAACCATGTTTACGTTGTAGTACCCATGTCATTATACACATTTGTGTCCTCATAAACCATATATACCTGTACACACACACACACTGACAGTTAGAGTTACAAATGACCTGCTCTTATCATTCGATCGTGGTTGTATCTCTCTATTAGTGCTAATGGATCTTAGCGCTGCGTTCAACACTATCGACCACAACATTCTTTTGAATAGACTCGAAAATGATGTTGGCATTAGTGGATTGTGCATGGTTCAAATCGTACCTATCCGACCGCCATCAATTCTAAGCAGTCAATGAAGAGGTATCATATTGATCACAAGTGCTGTATGGAGTACCTCAAGGCTCAGTACTAGGGCTATTAGCCCGGTTCTGTCAACACTGCACTGGCTCCCTATTAAACATCGTATACATTTTAAAATGTTGCTAATTACCTATAAAGCCCTGAATGGTTTAGCATCTCAGTATTTGAGCGAGCCCTTATTGCATTATAGTCCTCCACTTCTGATGTGTTCTCAAAACTCTGGCCATTTGATAATACCTAGAATATCAAAATCAACTGCTGGTGGCAGATCCTTTTTCTATTTAGCTCCCAAACTCTAGAACAATCTACCTAACATTGTTCTGGAGGCAGACACACTCTGTCAGTTTATCCATTGTATTATGTTCACGGGTCAATTTGACCCACATTTTTTTTTTCAAGGCAACTGTACAGACCCAAATTAAATATATTTCTTGGGTATATGTTGTTATGTTGGTGTTTTGTTACCCTGGAAAGGGAAAAAAGGAGCCTTTTCTCTTTATTTTCAGTGCTGAAAAAGACTTTCTCAGACTCAGATGATAAAAGTGAGCTATCATTTCTATTTTCAATGTATATGAAATAATATTTAACTTATCTTTTTCTTCCAGACATTTTGTAACTTTTTTTCATTTAGGGCCATGAACATGCCTAAATAAGTTGTGTTCCAAATTTGA